TAATTTTTTTTAAGTTATTTGTCTTTAAAAAAAAAAAAAACAGTGGGGGTGCATATGGAAAACAGTTTGTCCTTACAGATGTTTCTACAACTGTGTTTCTGGCTTTTGAACACATTTTTCCCTCTTTTAAAAGTTGATCCAAATATCTGTTCAACTCAACCTCCTCAACTTTCCAGAATTATTTTCAGTTCGTAGAAAAGGCTTTAACCTTCAACTTCTCTAGCTTCGGTCCCAGTATATGTTTATGACTATTTTTAAATAGCCAAATTTTCGGTTCCTGTTGAAAGACATTTAGGAGATCATTTATAAGAGGAAAAACAAACTGTTGACCTTGAATATAGAGTTGAGAAAACCTGGCTCTGCATTTTCAGGGAGTGCAGTTCTCTGGTCAATTATGAATTAGAAATTTCTACAGCTCAATTTGTAGGAATGAGTGCAGATCAGCGGTTTACGCGCAAGGACAGGAGGCCGCACATGAAATCTGCAGGCTATCAACACAGAATGAGAGAACAGGCTTCCTATTCCAGTTCCTCCTGTGGGATGTCTTAGGGTCACTTAGATATATTTACTGTAGATGGACAAAGGATGCACTGGTACTCGGAATAAATATTATTATGTGGGCTTCCATCGGAAAGTGCACGTAACAAAGCTGATGGTCACAAGGATTCTCCATCAGGGTGACGAGTGCCAAGCCCCCTCCACCCTTCTGGCTCCCTTATATTTTTTCCAGGCCTGCACACCATCCACGCCATCAGGCGGGGCTCCCAAATGCGGAGTGCTCTTGGAAGGCCCGGCAGCCCTCATGCCCCCCGATGTTTCCACTTCCCCGTCCTGCACACTTCTCCATCTTCTGTGAAGAAAGGGAGCCAGGAAGTAATGTGAGAACTAAACACGAGACTTGGTTACAACACAAGCAAGAGCGTGCTGAGGCCTGGTTGCCTGTTCCTTTGGCAATACAGCTGCTCTGGAAAAGTCTTGAAGCCCTATTTCAGCAGAAACTAAAATTAAAATCAATCAGAAGCAGCCTGAAGAGAAAAGGGATAAAATTATGCATTTATGTATAGGGGTATGGATACAGACATAAATGTCGGTAGTTTGTTATATATTTTAGGCATCTATCTTAAGCGCACATATAAATAATCCCTATACAGATGACCAAGCACTAACAGAAGGCCTTTATTCAGGGCTTCCGTGATTATGGTAACCAGATATTCAACCAAAAAGCAATAGGGTGGTGTAAAGACATAAAAATGAGCACGGAAAAACAGACTGGGGTAAATTCTACCTCCTGACATCTTCATTGACAAAAGGCCAGTAGTCCATTGAACATTGGCAACAAGAAGCTTAGACTATATTAAGCAATAATGAAAAATAAATTCTAGGTTAGCACCAAGATAGAACCCACCATCAGGCACTTCTGCCAGCTTCAAGGCTGGACTAAGACACATATTCCAAGGCCATATATTCAAAGGCGGAGAAGCAGAAATCCATGATGCTCCTGTATAAAATGGAAAGCCAAAGTGAACCCTCCAAACTGAAATAGCCATAATTGTATGAAAATTGTATGAAAACCTATAAATCCTAAGCAGAAACCTAGCAAAATGACCTCCTGTCTAGGGCCATTACTTATCTGGAATAATCAAAGAAAGCAGGGGTGAAGGGGGTGGAGAGAGGCTCTGACTCCTTAAAAACTTAGAAAAGCTCTCAGTCTCTTTCACCATTCACATATGAGCTGTCCTCCAGATATCAACTGTTTTCCAATTACCAAACTAAAGTGACTGAAATTGGAAACTCTCTGTGATCATTCATTCAGTCAATTAATACTTATTGAGTGCCAATTTGGATGATGAATAAGACCACTGCAAACCCTGTCTTCACAGAGCTCCCAGCCAAAGCTCCATGTGTGAGATGGTCCCTTCAGCCTTTGGTTGCTGGGAATTGACAGAACAGAAAATAAACCCTAGGAAACTTCCAGTCACATAAACCCACGTCCAGAGAACACACCACCACTCACTGGTGATATTCTAAAATCTAGATTTAACGCTCAGGTTTGGCATTTAGAGATCACCTTCCCACAAAAACAATACCATCAATCATGTCTGGGTCCTTGGGGCAATCCACAGGGCTTGAGTTGCCCTGCATTCAACTGCAGTGTGATTTAAAGAGGTTTCTGGTGACCCCAGACCCTTCCAATCCACAATCTTAAACTATGGTTACGATCCTGAGACAGCTACTGTGATGACACAGTCGACATTGGACACTGGGATGGGCAAAAAGCTGCAAGTGCATGGTGGGCGGGCTGACTGCCACCTGCAATCTCAATCCGTCTCCCGGACAAGGGACTAGGAATGGAGGTAGAATCTCCCAAAGGTGCTTCTGAGGCAAGAATTACATTTGGAACAGTTCATTTGCCCATCACACAGAACAGAGCCATTGGTCCCGGCCAAGGCTACGCGCATTTTGCCCAGTTGTTACTGAGAAATCACCACTCACGTGTTTCCTGGCAATTTCAGGAGGTCTGATAGTATCTTTCCATACTCTTCCCTTTTTAAGGCATACATCTTTTTCAGCAGTGATCCCAGCACTAATAGCATTTAAAGTACATTAACTTCTATTAATGTTTAAATACCACTTTTTATGTAGTTTCATTATTGCCCTCATCTTATCTTCCAGACTCCCCCCCCAAAAAAATCATCAACTCAGCATCTGACTAGTAAAAACAATAGCCTCAGCTCAAGCCCGATGTGTTTAAACCATGGCATGGATAGATGTGCAGCAAAAATAGAAAAAGAAGTTATTCTTAACAAGACCGTGAATCTCCAAGATGATTTTTTCAAAAACAACTTTATTTATGTTTGGAAATAAGGGAGTGAAAGCATAGGATATAGTAGCTAGTGCCTGAAGGAAGTCATTTACTGGCTCTGGGACAAGGTTTAGCAAAATCTTCCTTACAATTCATTAAGGATCCCCTTAGGTTATACATGTTCGGGAAATGTAGGTGCTTTAGCGGTAATCATCCCAAATTATCCAAATAAAAATCTGTTTCAGTCTTCGTGTGGGAGTCTCTATAGGAAATACAATCTTCTCTGAAACAAATGTCTACCTTTTATTCTCTCCCTCCCTGCGCCGCACAGACTATGTGAACACTTACAGACCATTCCAGAGGTTGTTTTCCTAACACAAAGCTGGGGTGGGGGCAGCTCCTAAATATCGCTGCTAGGGTTCCCAAAGCTTTTGTGAAGCTCCTGGTAGAACCTAGACAGATTTTCTCTCTGAAGAGCCCATGAGATGAAAGGTCTCAAACTAAACCCTCAAGAAGGGAAAGTAATAATGCTAGTATCTGGCTCTCTCCAGTAAAATCCCTGCTTGGGGACATCCACTCCAAGTGCCTCTAAGGAAACAAAGTACTTGATCCGAATGAGGAAAACAAAATGCCATGGTGGGTGGCTGACACGCAGAGAACAGTAGCCTCGCCCAGACCTAGGCCCAGAAAGGTCTGCAAAGCAATGCCCCTCCCCCATCTTGTCACTCAGAAGGTGCTAGCCCATGTTGATCTCATAGAACGGTGATTCTCCAGGAATGCTTGGGCCACGGTAGTATTGGCATCCCTTGGAAACTGTTAGAAATGCCAAGTATCAGGCCCACCTCAGACCTATTAAATCAGAAACTCTTGGGGTGGCCCAGAAATCTGTGTTTTCACAAGCCTTCCAGGAGTTGCTGATGCAAAGTCACGTTTGTAAACCAGCATCGTAGTAGGACTAATTAAAATCACTGTCCCTCCCCCAGGCCTTATTTATAATTGGAGAATGAGAGATCTTTCCTCCTCCAAAAGAAATGTCAAGAATCGGCAGGTCAAGAGAAAGTCAGGAGCAGATTTGGGGGCTATTCAAGGCCTAATTTACCACTACTCCTCCCTGTTCACTTCAGGTTTAGGGATTTTGATCATGGGCACCCACAGAGGGAGAGGAGAAAACGTCAGAAATAGATCCACTCCACCCCAGAGCCCAGTGTACGCTGGATAGCTTATCGCTCCATAAACATCACTTCCAAGTGAGTAGGCAGCGTAAATAGTGGTTGTAATGAACCAGACAGATCAAGAAAACCCACCACGTTGTCTTCAACACAACGAAGCCACCACTAAACCTTCTTCGCAGCTTTCGCAAGCTGGTGGCTATTTGTAAGAGACCACACAAAATTCAACAATAGCATCTTAGTCAATACATAACATTTAAACTTCAGAGCAAATGCTTTTCAATCGCTGAAAATCTTGGCTATTTATAGAACAAGAACATTTAAATAAGTTTTCCCCCTACAATGAATTTTCCGTCCTCTGAGGGAGACCCCTGGTCTATTCTTGGGCAGCATGGCCAACAATTTTACAATTTTTAATCAAGCACTGGGAATCTTTCCATTAACGCATGCACGCACGTGCGCGCACGCACACACACACACACACACACACACACACACACACACACACACCCTCATTCACAAAGCTTCAATGTACAGCCTGGGTTCTGATTTCGCTTCCCCAACACAGTTCAAATCTCAGAAGATGAGAACCTTACTGTAAAAGCAGTAGCAACAACAAAAGCTACCATGGAAGGGTCTGGAAGTCAAATGCACAGCAGAAAGGACCCTTCTGCACAAAATACTTGTGTCCCTAACTAACCTACTGCCATCACACCTCACCTGCCTTTCTGAAGCCGAAGGGAAACCCAGGCACGCTTTGCCTGTATCGTTATTAGTTACTTCAGACTCAGGAAACCAGTTCCGTGTCTTCTGGGACAACCGTCCTCCTTGGAAAGTGGGCACTGCTGAGTAATCAACGTTATTTTGCTCTGCCTTGATTTGTAGTATCATATCCTTGTTGCTATTTTTTCAGCCTTAAAACCTAGTCATCGTAAATCTAGCCGCTTCTTTCTTTAGTGGTAATTAGCATTAGTCAGAAGCCAAAAATGATTCCACTTAAGAAGTAAAATAAACAGAACCATTCTTACCTTTCATGCCAAACTTGGAGTGTCTCGCCAACTTCAGCAGAAACAGCATCACCAGCAGACAAAATCCCACCACAGACGCAATTACCACCACAGCATAGACCTAGAGGAGAGAAGGGAGAGTGGTCATGACCTTGCTCCTTAGTTCCCTACTTCCAGATAATGATGATAATGAGGATGACAGTCCATATTTACTACTTGCTCTGCTAGAAACTTTGTGTCTGTCAACCCATTTATCACTCAACAACTCTACAGTGAAGTATTGTAGGTCCGATTATTATCCCTACTTAACAAATGAGAACACAAAAGTTAGAAGCTTATAAAAATATCAATGCAATTGATACTGTATAAACACAGAGATATATTACTCTCTCCCCATCTATCTATCCTCCTACCTGCCTACCTGGAGAGAGGAAAGAGAATATACAAAACTTGAATGATAAAATACTGATTATTTCTGAAGCCGGTGAAAGATACAGTAGGGTTCATTTTGCTATGCTCTCTACCACTGGGCATGTTAGAAAGCTGTCCATAATAAAAAGATTTTTCTTTTAAGTTAGCTAATGTTGATCTTAGAAATCAGAGTCCCATGGAGCTGGGAGTAGGCAGGGAAGGGAGCAGGAGGGGTACCTGCGGGTGAGTTCACTTGTGAAAGCTCATTGGGTTGTAGATTTATGATAGGTACACATATGTGTATGTATGATAGAGGTCAACACAAAGTTTTTTTAAACTTAAAATGTAATTATAACATGTGGGTTATACAAGTGGAGAGAGCAGATGCAGACCCGTGTGAATCCTGCCACAACCCTGAGAGAGATCACAGAGGCCTAAGAGTGTAATGCTAATGAAGTACATATTAACATTTCAGAAACAAAGATGGAAGCAGGACAATGCATCTCCTTCCATTCCTGCTGCTCACTCCAAGGTCCCGCTCCCAAGAAAAGTGTGACTCTCCAAGCCAGGAGGCAGCAAACTTTTGCTCTAAAGGGTTAGACAGTACATACTTTAGGCTTTGGGGGCCATACAGTCTCTTTCACAAACTCTCAACTCTGCTGGTGTAGAGTGAAAGCAGCCATAGACAATATGTAAGCAAATGGGCATGACTGGGTGCCTATAAAACTTTATTTACAAAAACAGATGGCTATAGTTTGCAGACTCCTATTCTAAATTGTTTTAGATGTCCACACTTTCTTAGAGGCTTAAGCTTCTTTTTGTTTCATTTAATCTGCATAATAATCCTTAAGACATACATCATTATTCCCATCTGTGATAATCATTAATGCTGTTTACCAAACATTTCTATTTCTTCCTGCATTTCTCTTTATAAGATTCACTTCCTGGCTTCCTGGTGGTAAGATGGGTGCATGTGACCAGTTCTGGCCAATGAGGTGAGACTTGTATCCCTGACAATGGAGCATTTCACTGCTACCCTGAGATCTTAGACTGAGGCAGTTATTCACACCCAGGGATGATGTTATACCCAGGGGACAACTGTCAATTTGGGGTTGTCACAACTGGAGGAGGGTGCTACTAGCATCTAATGGGTCAAGGCCAGGGATGCTGCTAAACATCCTACAACACTTAACAACCCCCACAACAAGAAGTTATTCATCCATAATAACGATGTCAATAGTTCCAAGGCTGAGAACCCTGCTCTCATACTTCTTTCTCTGGGCCTTAATAAATGCTAACTTTCCAAAAGTGGCTGCCTATCAATCTAGTCTTAGAATGAGGACAAGGCTGACCGAACTGCCGGTCAGCACAAATAATGAAGCAGGAAGTAAACCTTTGTCATTTTAAGCTGCTAAGGTTTGGGGATTTTTGTTACTGCAGCATAGTTTACGCTGACTGATGTACCCATCTCGGAATGAGAGGCAGTACAGCCTCTCATTACAAGAACGTGAGTTCCTCATGAGTTTGAAGTTTAGATTTACCACTTACTGGGTGCCTGACCTCAGAATTACTCAATCTCTCAGCATCCAACACGCCTTGTGTGTGAAACAGGGAATATAATCATTTTACCTTGCAGATTATTTAAATCCTCAGCGAGTTAATGCAGATAATGGGTTTGGAACAGAGTCTTCTACAATAGATAATAAATTAATGTTGGCTATGAGGATGGTAAAACTGAGATTTATAAAAAGTTAAATAAGCAACCCAAGATCACACCTTTCGAGCTTGGGATTTGAACTGAAGTCTAAGTACAAAACCTGTGACTTATCCACGGTTCAGCCTTTATACTACTCCTTCAAAACACATGGCTGAGAAGGAAGACAGGATAATAAAAATGCATGGCTAATCCTCCTGTGACATCCTCTCCGGCATCCACTGGGGACAGGACAGCATTAAAGAAGGCATGAAACCCAGGAAAGGGCACATGCCACACACTTGGCCAGAATGGAGCCAAGCTGTGAGAATCCTCTCCCCCGGCACTGTGGTCATGAGTTGTGAGTGGCTCTCCCAGAGAACACCTCTGCCAATGTTTGAGTGCAGACTTAACTCTGTCTCTGTGGCCTATATACAAACAGAGTGCTTGTGATTCCTAAAAGGTTAATTATAGATCAACTTGTAACTAAGGCCATTTCCCTCAAACGTACCTAATGATTTGGGGTGGGTTCTTTTTGTTTGTTTGTTTCCATCTTCATTTCTAACTAACATCTGCATGGAAAAAGAGATCGTAGTATTTTAGCTTTCAGTTTCTCAATCTTATTATTAAATTCCAGACTTGTACTAATAGAAGGAGAAAAATTGAATAAACAAGTTCAGTCCCTATTTCATAGATAAGGAAACAGGGATGGAGAGATGTTAAGAGACTTGCCCCTAGCCCCACAACTTCTCTGTAGGACCAGAGACAGCCTCTGACCCCCTTCAGAAAGTACCTGACTGGCATTCAGAAGGCTTGGTTCTTATGTTCCCAGGACACCTTGCTTTTACAAGCTGTGAGAGTTAACAGATGCTTCACTTCTGCAAGCTTCCATTCCCTCATTTGTACACGGAGATAATAATACCTGCCCTGACTTCTCTATTTTATTATAGAGTGTTTAAGTCAACCTGGAAAATGGGAAGGGGTTCTACTGCTGGGGAGCAGCTAACGATCTGCTAGCAAATATTTAAACCTATTGAAGCAGCTCTATATGCAAAGAATCATTTAATAAACAAAGAATCCCAAGACAATGAGAAGAACTGTTTCCAAAAAAATGAATTGTTTGGTAAATATAGTTTCATGTACCGTGCATGTGTTGGGTGGGGGTGGTCTTTATGCGGGAGACAAGCAGGGGTGAATGTATTTGTTCATCTGTTTGCTTGGTTGGTTGGTTTAGTTGGCCGGCTGGCTGGCTGGTTAGTTGTTTGGTTGTTTGGTTATTTGGTAGGTTAGTTTGCTGTTTGCTTGTTTGGTTAGTTGGTTGGTTGGATGGTTAGTTGGCCGGTTGGTTGTTTGGTTAATTATGTGGCTGGTTGGTTGATTGGTTGGTTAGTTGTTTTTAATCTGAGGATATCTCTCAGCATTAACAAGGACCTGCTCTACTCAAAAAATCCAGCAAGGTTCATGAGGAGCACATATTGGACCAGAAAGGAAAGCATTTGAGGCTGTCTTCCAAATGCTCTGATAACACCTTTAACTCTTCTATCAGCTCCCTGACTCTGAAACTCTTCTAATCTAACAATCCTCCCTGGGATTAGGAACTGTTCATGAATTAAATATCTGATCCAGACTTAAGTTTTACATTTTCTTTAAATTCTACAAAGCATTACACCTTGCACCCATCATGCAGATTTCCAGGGACCTCAGGTGGAATTGTAATGTACCAACTTTCAACAAAGAGTATTTTCAGTGATCTTGCCTTCCAGTGGCCCTACTGTAAAGAGTCCAAATATCACTGAGATGTGCCACTTAGGGACTTAAATTTATCATTGGGTCTCAAAAGAGAAAAGTGAAGTTGGCTTGTAATTTTTAGTAACTGGGCTATGTATACACCTGTGGGCTTAACACATACTCCTTGGATTCCTTATATACACAACTTTCTCAAACCAAAAAACACTAAGTGGTTTGGTATGAGAATAAACCAAAAAGATTGCACAAGGCAGGAAGCAGAAAACATTCTGCAGCTGATTTACCACGGCATTTGTCCCTGCTATTTCAATGCAATGCATCCTGTCATCTATGGAAATATGTGTGTGTGTGTCTCCATGTACTGGATATGTGTATTTTGAGTTGCAGCTGAGCTACATCTGTTATGATCCTCCCATTCCCACAGCCAGGGCCCTCGTTTAAATATAAATCACATCTCCCTTAGCTAATCACACTGCTTCCAATCTCTCTGTCCTGCAACGCATTTTAGAGTACTCACCATTACTCTAATCAGCCTCCAATTTTTATTATCTCCTAGGTGCCAGACACTATTTGAGGGATGAGGGATACAGCTCTGAAAAACACTGACCAGGTTGCCTAGATTTGGAAATTCACTAAAGAATCTAGAGAAGGAGGGGGGTCTGGGTGGCTCAGTTGGTTAAGGGCCCGACTCTTAATTTTGGCTCAGGTCATGATCTCCAGGTCATGAGATCAAGCCCCACATCGGGCTCCATGCTGAGCATGGAGCCTGCTTGAGATTCTCTCCCTCCCTCTCCCTCTGCCCCTTCCCACCACCCATGTGCACGTGCTCTCTCTCTCTCTCTCTCTCTAAAAAGAATCTAGGGAAGGAAAAAAGACATTACACAAGTAAACAATAAAGAAGCAAGGGAATTACAGACAAGAATAACTGCTCAGAAGAAAATGGAACATGATCATGGCTGCCTGGTGGCTAAAGCCATGTGATGACCATTGGGAAGTGCATGCCTTGTAGAGGGAACAGCAAACATAAAGGCTGTGAGACAAGAGTAAGCCCGAAGCACGTGAGCGAACATGAAGAAGGACAGGTGGCACACGTGGGGGCAGGGTGCGGGGTGAAGGCAGAGACGCAGATGAGGGCAAGACGTGCGGGGCCTTTTTGTCACCATGAGAAGCCGGGCTTTTGTAATAAAAGTTCTCTTACACTCGCACTGGGAAGACTCTGAGAATGACAATAAAAATGATCTGATTTGTGCTTTTCAAAGGTCACTCAGGCTGCTGTATGGAGAAAGGCCGGGAGATCACAGGGTGGGAGACAGGGACAGGTAGAGGCTGCAGAGGTCATCCAGGAACGAGCAACTGTGGTAAACTTCCTCTGTGAAGGGCCAGGTGACCAAATACTTCCAGCTCTTCAGGCCGCACAGACTTTGCCGCAGCTACTCCAGCTACCACCGTGGCGCAAAAGTAGCCACAGACAATATGTCAATAGGCATGACCGCGTTCCGATAAAACTTTATTCTTTACAGACGCTGACATTTGAATTTCATAAGAGTTGCACGTGTCATGAAATATCATTCTCCTTTTCATTTTTTTTTCCCAAACCACTTAAAAAGGTAAAAACTCTTCTTAGCCTGCAGATGGCACAAAAACAGGGGGTGAGCGGGACTTGGCCCGTGGGCCGTAGTTTGCCAACTCTCGGGTGAGCCTGCGGCCATGGCAGTGGGGGTGGGGGATGTGGATGGGTTTGGGGTTTATCAGGTGGCAGAGCTCACAGCACAGGGGACCGGGTGCACGTGACAGTGATGAGAAGAATGAGGGACGTGGCTGGCCTTTGAGCTGAGCAGCTGACAGACCAACCCCGCCAGAGTCCTGGGGCTCAAGCCCGCCCCCTTCAGTGGCTCCTCCCTACATGATAAATCTAACGCCTGGCACTGTGTTTCAAAACCCCATGACCTGGCACAACCACTTCTCCAATCGTGCCTCTGATGGTCCCCCCACCACACACACACCTTACCTTTCCATCAAAACCATTTTCCAGTCTGCAGGCTCTTGTGCGCACACCCAAGATGCCCTTCCCTTGGTTTCCTGTCCGTCTAAATGCCAGCCATCCCGCACAGCTGGAAAATGCCCCCAGCTCCAGCAAGGCCCCTCGGGAGCTCCCAGCAGGAAGGAGTGGAGCACCTGCCCCTCTAGGTCCCGCTCTCACATCCCACTGCTTCTCTGTCTGTATCACAGGTGCTGGTATCCAGTCACCGCTCAGGGCTCTGACCGAAGTATAAACTCCTGAAGGACAGACCTGCTATTCCTTCATATTTTTCTATCTTCCCACTACCAGTCCCTCCCAGAACCTATGGGATTCCTTAAATTTAGTGGGCAATGAGACTCTTATTAAAATACAGAACAAGACAGGCATGAAGGTGCCAAAGATGGGAATAATGCCCGAATGAGACACTGCTCTTCTTTTTTAAGGACATTTAAAATAAGAACCACTAGCAATTAACGGAGCACATAAAAGGGGAAGCAAGTAAGTCAGAGGCTACACAGCACATTTATCACTTCTCTTGAACCTTTCTGTGAAGTCTTCCAAACGTCAACACCCTATTCACACCTGAACAGTAAAAATGTCATGTTGAAAGATATGCACCGAAGCAGTTCTGCTCCCCGCAACATTTAAGCATCCACAGCGCTCAGAGCCGACCTAGGAAACAACTATTCATCTCACTCACCGAGAGATGTTCCCGACCGCTTTTGTCAGCAACATCTGTGGAAGGGATTTCGTTACTTCTGTTCGTGGTGTCCCCAATGTCATTTGCTGCAGTCCCATAATCTTAAATTGGAGAAATGGGAAAAAGAAGGAACCATGAAGTTGTCACCAGGCTACCAACAAACACGAGGCCACAGTATGACCCAGAACCATGAAGCGAGACAAATCACAACGATTCCAAGCCCCTGAAAGCCTGGCTGCAGAGGAACATGACCCAGCTCTTGGGTGAAAGCCATTGTAGTGCTGGGATTGCATGATGCTCAAATGTTATGCAACCCAGATCTTTCCATCACCGGCTTGGCAGACAAATTCTAAACTAGGTTTTCCTTGGTAGGTCAGAATATATCCCTTTTTTTAATAAAGTCTTTGATATAAATACAAAAGGGAATCGATCCTTTAAGAGTCATACATTTATAGACCTGGAAGGGCCTTTGGATATGGAATCTAATCACCAGTTTTATAGCTGAAGAAGGTCATCTGCGAAAAGTCAAATGACTAGTCTAAGGTGAACTGGCAGGAAGGTGGCAGAGCCTAAACATGAACCACACCTCAAATCAGCAACACTCATTCCAGGGCTGATGCGTCTTGTTTGGGTAAGAGGCAGCCACTCAGGAGGGGCTATGGAGTCAGCATTGATGTGGACTTGGGTGCCCATATGAACTTTTTTGAAAAGGTCTTAATTGCCAACATTTCAGTTTCTGAATTCATAGAGAGGGAGCTGCACCAACACAGTATTAAGAATTGTGAGAATACGTGCTCCCATCAGCACGTCTCAAATGTCCCTGCCATCTTCTGAATCAATTTTAGTCTATACGAAGCAGGCTGGAAATAAATGATTGGGGTTTTTTTTGGGGGGGGGGTAGTGAATGTTTTTATTAGTCATATTCATATAAAAAGTCATAGAAAGTTTTTTATGAAGTTATTGTAGACAATGTTGTTTATAAATGTTTGGTATTTTTCTTCTCAATAGATATGAGGAATGCAGTTTCCAGCCTGAACATTAAGTCATTAACCTCATTAACCTCATTAAGTGAGCCCCAGCTAAACCTCCCTCTGTAGGACTATCAAGCTGGCTTTGGGGCAACAAATTTAAATTATATTTATATTAGCAGAGTGTTCCTTTGAATGTGAATAAATAGTAACCAAAAAAGCATCTATTTTCCATTTGCTGTTTTATTCTTAACTCCAAAACTACATTGTCACCATTTTCATTTTAAATATACTAGAACATTGATTTCAACCAAACACTAAGAAATATCATCCATTTGCTAATTTTTTTTACCTCTTCATATTCTAATGAGCCACTCATGCAAAATTAAGTCACTAAAGTATTGATAGTTTAATCTCCTATTTGGCCCGAAGATCCAAAGTGGGATCTGAGGCCAAAGGGAAGATGGAATTTTTAAAGTCTTGAAGTTACTGGAAAAGAGTCCAAAACATAATTTTAAAATGTAAAATCACAATTCAAACATAGCTCTCTGTGACACAATCTGAGACTTTTTCTTTAAGCCATAATGGGACAAATAAAAGCAAAAATTCACAAATCACATGCACAAAATCATCCAAAACACAATTTGAAGGAGATATAGTTTAACATGCATAAAACAGGTAAAGATAATATAATCCCCCAGTTAAAATTAGCTCAAGTTAAATACACACACATATAACATACAAATATAGAATCTTTTTATAAAAAAATTAAATGTCCACATGTACATAAAGGCAAAGAATGGAATATTTAATAGAATAAGTTATACATGTCACATTTTACTCAATCTAACTTTTAATCAGTCTTAAATTTTGAGCCAAGTCTTGAAATTGAGGCTGCCACTTCCCCAAACAGAGCCTTCCTGGTCATGAAGGTAATCTGTTAGAGATGGATTTTCACAGCTAATCAAACACCCCTGGAATTCCATTAAAATAGCAAAACACAGATGAGATATCCAGTTAAAAGCTAATATAGTCCACCTTCTGGCTTCTCCCTTCCTACATTCCTAAGAGAACCCCATCTTATTCAAGGGGTTCAATGACATTCTCTGAGGAAGATTTAAACTCCAGGGGTGGCTCTAGTTAAGTCAAGGGTTAGTCCATCCCTCTTATCAGTAATGGTGGCAAGAATGGACTATGACCCACTGTGTCGTGAATCAGATTCAAGGAGGGCTGATGGAGATCTCTGGGAAAGTTCCCTTTCCCCTGGAATGCCTTCAGAAGCTCTTCCATTTCTCCCAACAACGTGAGTGAGAGCGGCCCCTCTGCGAGCATCATCTTCCTACCATGAGGGGAGTCAGCCTTCGGGGAAGTGGGCGCAGTAGGCAGGGGGTAATAAAGATGAAAAACTTGGGTGCCTGATGACATGGTAGAGCTACTGGTTAACCAAACTTAAAAACATGCCCTACTTTTGAGGCTGTGAGCCTGTCTGTGAGCCAAACTTCCTTATTATACAAGAAACATAATTTTGAATTGGGTTTACTGTCAAAGCCAGAAACTGATACACATCCCTTTTCTTGGTAGTCATGGCTTTTAAACAGGTAATTAGTTCCCAATTAGGGAAACAAAATGTCTATTACAGTGGAATGGATTTACTACTTCCAAGAACAGAACATGAGAGAGAAAATGCTATTTACAAGCACTGTAAATATCAAGGGAAAACAGCCATCAATATTGAATGATTTTTGAAATATTATTGTGGCCCATGTAATGCTTAAAGCGTATATTTAACTGAGCTTAAAGGTCCCCTTTTAGTTGATTTGTTTCATTTTAGACAAACATTTTGAAAAAAATACAAAATAAAGACAACATGATAGCTACCTTCATAAATTACATCAGGATAATTTGGGTTGGCACCTAAAAGGCAAAACAAAGCAAAGATTTGTAAGTATGCATTCAGAATTAATACTAAGTATCCCCACTAAAGTGAGTTACATATATATTGAAGGTTTTATAGGTTTATAGTTTGTTTTACAGAACAGGAACATGAAACCTGAAATTCTTGGTTTGCTTCATGTGAACTGTTTCCCTCCCCAGTCCCCAAACCTCCACCCCTTCCAAAGAAAAGAAATGAATGAGGAGAAATTACACATCACTTTATAGCTGGGAAAACTTCAGCAATCAATGCATTACGACTATTTCTAGTACACAGTTGGCCATTTTAACTGCAATCCTGGTACTTTTATTCTAGAGACAGATTATCTCCATACCACTTTAAACAACAAAAGATAAAACCTCTGATGGCTTGGGTATTACTTTCAAAGTGTACTTTGGCAGGTCTACTTGCTTTCACAAACACATTATTAACCAGCCCGAATAATGATATCTAATGCCCAATTTTGCTCTCCACTTGGTGTTCAGAGGGGGGTTGCCAAGGTTGAATAAACGAACCCTTTCTTCTGCCTTAATACAACACAGAAAAATAAATGTACTTTCTCTATTGAAATGATTTATGTATAAGAGGTTACACATAAATGTTATGTCAGAGACAAATGCAAAAGTATATCCACTTAATTGGGGGGGGTGGGGAATGATTCTTTAGTCACCAAGATGATCAGAATACTCTGTTTTGAAATATTCTCATGAAAATTTGCAAAAACTTTTTTAATTTTTTTAAATCATCATCAACAAGAACTGGGGACAAAACCATCTGATACTTACTCTCCAATCAGAACTAACCGGGTCTCTATATGAAAGCCTACTTGGAAATAAAATAAAATTTGATATAACATTTGTGTGATTACAAAATAAATTTCCAAAGCTACTTCCTATGCGTTTAGCCTTCACTTACCTACTTGTAAACTGTAAAGCTTATTCAGCTCTCATTTCACTTCTAAACCCTTCAGCAGAAAAATATCATCTAAGATAAAGGGAAACTAGAGCCAATTTTCTGTTCATGTATTCCCTATCAAAGGTAGTTTACATGAAGAGCCAAATAAAAATGGCCTTAATGTTCAAATCAGAATTTTAACACATTTCAACTAATAGAATATCTATTTCAGCAGGGGAAACATTAAGTAGATGGTTAGGTACATTGATTCAAGGATGCTGCAAACTGCTAAGCATTCCATGCTAACTGGGGCGCCGTTTAGACTGTAGTCTATGTGAATGACACCACCTGAAATTGTGCAGTGCACAACCTGTGCTGCTATACGAAATGGCCCTGTGTCAATTCATGCAAAGTCACCGATTCTAGTATATTTCATAGTATTTTGAGTTTTATTATCCCAAACACCATTTTAAAGTAGTCTTGAGTTATAATATGCTAATACATATTATCAGGATTATTTGTAGTGGATGTGTTATTCTTGAGAAGGGCCTTGAAGGCTGTCTTGCAGTTTGAGGGATAAATTCAGTGGATAAAGCAGCGTGAAATCCCAGTGGCAGCCCTGGTGACGTCATATGCAGAGCACACACCCACCTGCTGAAATCCTTTCCCTTTGCAAAGTCCCTGGACCAAGTGGGTGTCCTATCCCTGTGAGGATTTCCTACCTCTACTGAAGGAAAGGTTCTGTAACCCCAAGTGAGCAAGTCATTCTTTGAACTTCTCAGTAATCCATTACTTTACAAGATCCCACTCTGGTCCCCTCCTCACTGTGCCCTCAATATACAAGTCTGCATCTGCAAGGGTACCTTCCCACCAGAGTCCACACTCCACTTCTAGACCTCGCTCCAGGATCCAGGACCCAGGACTCACATTTCCTTCCCTACACCTCCCCCCAAACACATTTCCTAGGACTAACTAGCCTTTTCCCTACATCTGTCAGCCCACAGGTGGCCACACCACTGGTATGAGTGAGCACCTTCTGACCCAAGACGCAAGGGACAGGGGAGCGTTGAGCAAGGGCAGGTGAGCTGGGGTGTCCACATGCCGGCTCACTGCCTCTCATGTACCTCTTGCCATATAGTTTCAGAGGCACAGGGCAGGTGGTATGGCCAGGAACCAGCTCTACCAAAACCACTACCTTCCAGCATGGAACTCCAAGAATCTGGGAGAATTAGATCCTCAAACCCAGCCTTTCTGGTCACTACACACATATGTATGCCAAGGTAGGAAGACAGAACCTATTTTATTTAGCAATTCATTAACTTGATTAATATTTTTTAAGTATTTGGATATAAGTATACAGACTTTGATTTGTACTAGGTTGGCTGCCTACGACCCAGGGCATTTCTGAGACAGTGAACTTTAAGTTTTAAAACTGGGATAGTCCCAGGAAAATCCTTGCAGTTTGTCCAGGAATGAGGGCTTTCCCCAGACATAGGACTTTTAGTGTGAAACTAGGACTAGTCAGTCACCCTGATTTGTCCTCAAGCCCCGAGGGACCCCACACACAGTCGCCTCCTGCCTTTACACATGCAATCCCATAAAAAAGTAAAAAGGCTGAGGATTTAGAGCCAGATTTATCTAAACCACATACAGGAAGGGCTGCAGTGAATATGACCGATGTACAGGTGTAACCGACCTCGTCACAGAAAGGTAACACCTAAACGTATTACTCACGCAAGGCACCCGGGAACAACATGAACGTCGAATCAGTTCAATGCAGCAAATGTCATGTATAGAAAAAGGATTTGGGATGGGAATCAAAAGTAAGTAGGTTAGCCCATAATCTGGAAAACTCGTCTTTTTCCAGACTTACAACTTCTGTCGGTGCATGCCTTTCCTACCAAGTTCACCAGCAAAACCACTAGGTCACATCTACACTTTCCGAAAAGTACTACATTTTCCTAACTTCATTTTCTCAAATGTATGCGGAGAATCGTCACTTGACTTCCATGGTCTGAAAGACTCAAATCTAGTGCGAGATTATGAAACTCACAGAAAGACAACGCGGGAAGAACAATAAGGTGCTCTTTATTTGCCCCCCCGACCATACAATACTATGTCTGAGGAGGGCCAACTCAACTGCAATAAAGAAACGCCTCGTGGGAGGACGCACAGACCTAAAGTTTATGACAAACAAGGGTCACAGTACTCCAGCTAAGCCCAGCTCATCGAACACGGTATTTTGCTTCTAGCAACTTCTCGGTCAAGCTAACCTCCCGTGGTGTTTATACTCCAACAGTAAGGTAGTTATTAACATCACGTTAAATGCAGACAGGAGACAAAGTCACCCCTTCCTTTTCAGACCTCTGGCAATGGTCATATTGTGAAAATATCCTGTGATTCTTAAGTCTAATTTCTAACTGGTTCCTTTCACTTAGTTTAAATATGTTCATTACATATCATTACTTGCTACAGGTAGAAACGCCTGTTTGAGATATTTAGGACGAAAAGGTGGGCGAGGAGAGACAAACACTGACTATGAGGGAAAAGCCAACAAAAAGAGAATGAATGAAAGATAAAGGAGCGATGCGCTTGTAAGGGGGATGTGAGCAGAGCTGTGCTTTCTTGAATACCATCCCAGTAGCTCACCAAGCAAGAAGTCTCAGATTTAGGCAGCAGGAGGTGGTATCAAACCCTAAAGCTCCATGTTGAAAACCACCGGAATAAAATATGGAAATTTCTGGAAGAAAATCTGAAAACCCGGGAACTCCGTCAACCCCACTCCATTCCAAACAAGCAGCAACCAACCCCCCCAGCTCGCTCCAGTCCAGAAGCAGCAGCTCCTCCCCAACCCGAGGAAGGTGCCTGCCAAGCACAAATTGTTGCTTGTCTCATGTTCCAACTCTGTTTTCTGAAGAGTGCGTCGAGCGTTGGCAGGTGCTACATACACTTGTGCTCTGTTCTGAACTTCGGGCATGTTGTCAGGAATTTAGGGACCAGGACTAACAGGTGCAGAACACAGCCAGACACGCTCCCCGTGGAAACAGCGCACACCATACATGGCCACCCACGCATTCCTAACAAGGCTCTGGATCGCTCACGGAACGTCTGCACCTCCAAAAGACAGACCTTCGGGCATTCAGGTTGCTAAACATCGATCATAAAGTCCTTTCTCCCCAACAAATCAGACCAAAGCACTTCACTGTCCTCTGATCTCCATGCTAAATGCCTTTAAAGGGACGACTCTAGCTTCCCTATTCTAAGCTGTTACAGCTCATGAGTACATCTTCGGACTCTGCCCAGGCTTCATGAGTAAAACTCCATGACGTTTTAACTGTAAGACTCTACAGTTAAGGGATAAAGAAAACCTGTGGGAAGGTGGGAGGGTTCCCTTTCCATCCTGCTGAATGGATAAAAATGATGGTGAAGGCCAGAAGACACATCTGCTTCTTTCCTTTCAGCTTTTAGTCTCTAATGCCCTAAAAAAAAAAAAAAGACTTCTCTCTCAATTCTATTTCCAGACTCTGTTTAGTGTGATCGTGAAAAATATTTCAAAGAATCCCATTTGATAAAGAAACCGCAAAAGAGGGCACCTGGGTGGCTCAGTTGGTTAAGCGACTGCCTTCGGCTCAGGTCATGATCCTGGAGTCCCGGGATCGAGTCCCACATCGGGCTCCCTGCTCGGTGGGGAGTCTGCTTCTCCCTCTGACCCTCTTCCCTCTCGTGCTCTCTATCTCTCATTCTCTCTCTCTCTCTCTCTCAAATAAATAAATAAAATCTTAAAAAAAAAAGAAACCGCAAAAGATCCATTCTTTTCAAATCAATTGTCCTTGGTTTGTCAACACTGTTGCCTAACTCATAGCAGTCCCTCCTTCTGATTTCCAGATCCTTCTCTTCCTTTTCTGAATGGCAGGCTGAGCTCAGGGCCCCAAAACACTGGGGGGTTCAGATGTCTGGGTTTCATTTTTGGCTGAACCACTAACATGCTATGCAGCATGGGGGGTGGGGGGCGCGCTTCACTTTTCCCGTGACAAAGGAACGTTCCATACCTCAGGAGAGGACAACAGCATTTGCTCTGGCAACTCAT